TCAGGCCCCACAACCGGACCCAAAAAAAAGAAAAACTGAAAAATCTTAATGCCTGAGATCATGAGCTAAGGTAATAAGCATAAAATCCCCAATCTGTCCAGAATGTTTGTTTTTTCACTGGAGTATCAATGCCTTAAGGGCAAAAATCCTACCTTCATCATGTTTGCACAAGTGTCCAACATGGTACCTGACTTTTATGTGTTGTCTAACACCTGCTTCCTGATAAATCCCCTCTTTATCCTGCATTCTCAAGAGCAAGCAAGCAGCACAGCAATCTGACCTGTGTACATGAAATAACTTGAATAAAAGTTTCAGAACCTGGGAATAATTTACCTTATGGATTTGGTAAATGACATCGGGTTGTGTTATACTTAAAATGTCATTGTTGCCTTTCAGGGGCCTGGCATGGTCTTTAAATTCTTGACCTTGGAAGCTTTCTTCACTGAGCTTGTACCGCTGAATCATGGTCCCCATCCCTCCATCCAGCACCAGAATCCTTTTCCGGAGAATGGCTTCGATCTCATCCTGCTGGGCTTTCTTCGGCGCACCTTTAAACAGGGTGACAATCCGACTTCAGAGAATGAAAAGTGAACAAAAAGATGTGTGGAGAGGGAAATGTAGAGTCAACTATAAGGAAACTCATTGAAAAAAAGAAATGCATCGGAGAACTACGGCCTCTAAAGCCACAAACACTGATGCCAAAAGAAAAAATGGTGAACACACTACAAATCTCTGGTAAAGCCTCAAACCTCGGTCAGAGCAGCTGAGTGAGCTCCGCTTCCCAGGCGAGGAAAACCGGGACAGGAGGCGCGGCCCACAGCCCGGGGCTCGGGGCTCGCTCCTGCTCTCCAGGGCTGACTCGGGGTCACCACGCCCCCCTCCCCCCGGCAGAGCCGAGGATCTACTTCGAAGTGGAGGAGCCGCCAACCGGGCCTCTGCAGGAGCAGAAGCGCCAGCGCGCGGCTCCCCGTCCCACCGAGCTGTGGGGGGGGCGCCCTCAGCCCCGCGGCACCTCAACGTCCCGGGGCAACTCTGCCCACTGCGGGTCCCGTCCGGAGACCTCCCAGGACCCGCGGGGAGGACCGGGCACCGGAGCTCCGGGGACCGCAGCGTTTCCGCAAACCCGAGGACCCAGGGCCCGGTGCGTCCGGGGGATCGGGTTCCACGCCCGGCAGCACCGGGCGTGGCTGGAGGTAGATACGTGGCCCCGCGGGCTGGCGATGCGAGGTAGGAGGGGGGACGCGGCGCGGGGGGACTCCGTCCGGCCGACGGCCACACCCCACCCCGGGACCAGGCCCTGCCGGGCCGCCGCGTTACCGGGTTGCGACAGCGCGGGCGACATGTCTCCGGGAATCCGTCTCGGGGGCCGTGGACGCGGCGGGGAGGGCGAGCTCTCCACAGGGGCTCGCGGCGCAACGCAGCCGGCTCCACCGCGCCGACCTCGCCGCTGGCACGCTCCGCAGCGGGGCGCGGCGCGCGCTGGCCCGGCCCTCAGCGGCGGAGTGCCGGAGCTGCGCGTGCCGTTAAGTCCACCGGCGTTCGGTCTAGCCTCGGGCGAGAGGACCCTCCCTCCCAGGCCTATGATTGGGCGCTGAGAGTCCTTCGCAGGCCTATTGGTTGGAATACCAGCCAATCGCCTCATGCTTAGCCCAAGGCCCTCTGGGAGATGTAGTCCTCAGTGCAGTACCAAGTCTCCCTAGTGGCCCGAGCATCTCCCGAGCCGGTTCCGGAAGTGCTGCCGTGCGGGTATCAAGTCCGCCTTTCCTACGGGGTCGCGGGGTCACGAGCCCCGTACTCGGGAATGTAAACTCTACACCCGTTTTGCTGACAACGGGAGACCTAAGTCTCCATTCTGTAGTCAGGACGCGATGCTAGTGGTGGGTGGGCCAGGAGGTAGAGAGCCCAGGTTCTTGGCGTCTCCAGCAGAGAATTGAACACACACACACACACACACACACACACACACACACGCAAAGTGGCAAGGCATCTAATAAGAGATAAAGAAAATCCACCAGTAAGGGAAGGTGTGGAGCCGAGCTAGGCGACCGGAGAGCACGTGAAGTAGTGTGGTAGGAGTGTGGCCACTGTGCCTGAGGGCATGAGGGCCCAAGGCCTGGTGAATGGGAGGAAGAGATCTGCGCATGTGCGAGGTTGCCATCCTCTAGTTAGCCTATGTATGAGAGGCAACGTGTGCTTGAAGCCAGGAGTAGGGGTTTGTCGCATATGGTTCTATTTCACAGGTGCCTCGGCCTGGGTAGAGCTGGCCTAAGGAGAAGTCCTGACCACCAACCAAGTAACCCCCAGGGATCAGTGGTCAGGGCTATCAGAAAGGAAATGGAGCTCTGGGTGTCCTCTAGTGTGGGGCTAGGATTCTTAGCTTTGGTTTCAGCATTCTTTCCCTATAGCTAACCCACTTCACTAGAGGTCATTACTGTTTCCTGAATTATGATAGGATGTGTGTGTGTGTGTGTGTGTGTGTGTGTGTGTGTGTGCACTTGCACTGGGACTTGAATTCAGAGCCCTTCAGTTTTTTGGGTGTCCATTTTGTCAGGTGTGAGAAGGTAAGTCAGACCTGAAACAAAATACTGCTAACTCTGGAGTTTGTCAGAGTGATGACCTGTTTTCCAAGAAGCTTCCCGACTTTGCCACAAAGGTGAACTCTGCTACTCATACCCCTCAAATTCTGTCATAATCTCAAGATTTATATCTTCTTCCCAGAATCCATGTCAGCTACCATTGTGACCATTCACATTGACTACGCCAAATGAGCTGAATTTCCAGTCTAAGGATGACACTGGCCCTCATAGAAAATAATGGATACAATTTGCAGTCCTTTTATTATAATCATTGGCCCTGGGAGGCCTCCCTCTCCTTTTGCTTTCTGCACAGTGAGAATTGCCATTTCTCAATGAGACACCAGACACCTGTTGGCTCAATTTGTGCCACCTGCTCCACAGGCCCTATCAAAAGATAGTTTTGACTCAGCCAATCTGACCATGGTAAAAAACTAAATGCAAACTTAGATTTTTAGCTAATTCTATAGTGCTGGCTGTGAATTTAGCTCTTAAAAATCTCACATATGATCTCTTACATAACCTTTACTCCATAACACCGGGTTGGCCTAAGCCCTCCATGGCTTGAAACTGAGGCTTAAAGATATTAACAAACCAATCCCTGGTGGCTTACACCTGTAATCCTAGCTCTTCAAGAGGATGAGGTCTGAGGATTTCAGTTCAAAGCCAGCTTGAGTTTTGAGAAAGTCCATGAGACTCTTATCTCCAATTAACCAACAAAAAGCTAGTACCAGCCTTGAGTCAAGAAGTTAAGAGAGAGTGTCCAGGCCCCGAGTTCAAACTCTGTTACTGAAACAATATAAAAGAAAATTACAGAGGACAAAATGAGAAGGGCTCCTACAGCCTGGGTCCTCTGAGGGCTTTCCAGCAGCTGGATTCCAGTGCCCACTGGCTATGGAGGCAAACATCTGTTTCCAAATACTCAACATAGCAGTGATGAGAGGACAGAGGGGGGTAGGTGACATGGTTTAAGTGGAAGGATTTGTTTTCTAATTGTTTGAGACCTTCTGAGTACTAGTAACCTTTCCTACAGTCTACTGGATCTGTTCGAGGTTATTAGAATCCCCAAGGAGCCTGAAAATATACAGATACCCAGATCTTAACCCAGACCTTCACAACTTAAAACCCAGAGGTTAGGGCTGAGTTGGCATGTGATTAAACCACATATATCTACTGGGAATTCTGAAGTTTCCCATCAGGTAAACCAATCTTCCTACTTCGTTTATATCACTCACCTCTAATTAGGTCAACGACACAAATGCCCACAGCAAATTCACCCACACCCAACAATCTGTCTGTCTTGTTTAAGGGACACACATACTACACCAAATGAGAGTTTTTAAAATACAATGTAAATGTTTAATTGAACAAGTTTATATGGAGTCAATCAAAGCATCTGGTTGTTTGAAATTTTTAAAAAACATTATTTTTCTTTTGCAAATTTAAATTGATAATTTAGCCTCAGAAACAAAAGTAAATCCTAGATTCAAAGTATGAACATGTTTATTGTTTTCCAGAGTTTCTTGTTTTTTTAATCGGCGAATAGTATGGCTCCATTCTCTTGATGAATGTTGTTAAGCAGTTAAAATTTGGGGTATATGAGTTATCCAAACCCACCCTAAAACAGAAGTCCCCCAAATAAACATCTTCAAATGAGAAATGACTTCCTAGTTTACCTCAGGGTTTATGGATGGAATATAGCACCTGCTTGAAATAAAAAAAAAAAAATCAACAGCTCATTACACACCACCCGAGAAGCATCTGGTGTAAAGCCACCTACTGAATGAAATACATGAAGGTCAAATGCTCTGAACAGTCCAGGGTCGTATAAGCATCAGAGAATGAGGAACACGTTACATTTTTGGCTGTGCGGAAATGTAGAACAAGCAGGAAAAAATAACGTGCAAGTAACAGGCACACGGCTGCTTCTCTAGCAACACTTTTATTGCTGCTTGCACCTGTTTTTTCTCTTCCTGATCATTAAGGATCCAGAGGATCCAGGATAAAGAGGCTTCCTACTTTCTTCACTACCTGCGGTCAATGAGGTGGGGAAGCAGACAGACAGCACCCCAGGTGGAAAATTGAACCAATGTTGAACAGATCACGACTCCGTGTCAGGGCATGAGCGCCATCCTGGGTCACAGCGAAGCCCATTCCAGCAGAAAAACCCTAACTACCAGCACAGAATCTCCCACTTCCTCCTACCCAAAAGAAACTACCCAAAAGCTCTGGGCAGGTCATGCAGTAAAGAACTTACCTGCACTGACACTGAATTCACCCCTTCTTAACTACAGCTTCCCTGGACAGCACCTAGAGCTCAAAACCTAAGTGAGTCCTGCTCCAAGTTCCAGGAGTACAGGAGTCTCCTGCTATGAACTCCTTCATAAAAACGTGCTCATGTAAAAACCTAGGGTTTACATACAGCCATCTCTCAAGACCCTCTTATAAGCAAGCTCTAGAAAAAACACAAGAATCTGCAATGGGCAGATAATCCTACAAAACTCACTTTCCTTTCAACTCCACCTTTGTGTTTGGCATGAGATGTATGCTTCCTCAGGTCCCTTCCCTGGGGTATAGGTAAGGCATCAAAACTCACTAATCAGACAGCCCATTCCTAAATAATAAAGGGCTGACTGTACGCTCTATTAAAAAATGAATTTTGCTTTTCAGACAGGCTCTCACTACAGAGCCCAAATTGGCCTCAAACTCATCAAAAATGTTAATTACTAAAATCCAGACACAGTGATATACATCTGTAATCCCAACATTCGAGAAACTGAGGCAGGAGGATCATGAATTGGAGGCAAGTCTGGGCTAGGAAGAGATAGCTTGCCTTAAATGTTTTGTACTCACTAAAGATCTTTTGATTGTTATGTTTCTTTTCCTGGCAGGTCCACTTCTTAATGTTTAATTCCATGAAGAGACACAGTGATATTTATATATGAATCAAGTTAATCTTTGGATAACCAAGAAAATAAAGCACTAGAATCCCAAATATTTCTCCTAGGCAAAAGCACACATACATATTATATAGGAAGACTATTTCATTAAAAAAAAAAAAACCTTAAGCTGTGATTCTAGTCACTCCTATGAATCTTGGGTGTTTGCGATCTTTCACATTTTCCACTTTTCTTCTGTTCTTAAATCTTCCTAATTTCATAGTATTCAAGTAATTTGCTCTGTTTAACCAAAGAAATGAACCAATCTAATATTTCATTCCATTTAGCTGAAAAAAATATCAGAAATGAAGACTGCATCTGTTTATCAAGCACACCATGTCAGACACCAGGGGAACTGTGTTTAGGTCATGTGACTGCTCTGACAAAAATAAAATAAACTAAAATAATGAGCTGCTACAGAATCTTTTTCCTCTCTGAACTCAGCAAAGCTTGGCAACATTTCCAGAAACCAACATGACTTCAACTTTTATTGGTTGGGACAGGATAAGGATTACAGATCACTCTCCCCATACAGCGCGGAGGAGAAGGCCGTGTAATCCAGGGCCCCAGGCACGCTGCCTGGGCCAGAGTAGGCTGGCATCCTCTTAATGCAATACTGGGCCTGGTCGGGAGGCAGCTCTCGACGCAGCTCATCCGCCAGGATATAAGGCTGGAAAATACACACACGGGCAAGGTCAGTCTCAAAAAACACTGCAACACCAACGGTTTCATGCTTATTCATCTACTGCACTTGCTTAGCTTATAAACAGGTCTAAGGGCAGGGAGGGCGTTCCCTGGGCACAGGTGGTGCTCCACATGTGGGTCAGGAGGAAATTTAACATGCTTCACAAAGACAAGTGGAGAATTATCATTATGGGGTTGCTAAGCCTCATGATCTATAATTCTACCACACACGAACAGTTGGTTTAGGTCATACACTCATAGGGCACAGGGCTACTTCATTCACCACAATTGGTATATATATATTTTGAAATCTGTATGTTTCATATGCTTTTAGACAATAAAGACCTTTCTTTCCCTACCTAGTTTATTTAAATAAATAAGATTGCATTCAAGGATAGAGATTTTTTTTTAACACACATAAAAGGTAAGGGCTAGGGATGGCTCAAGTGGTAGAGTATCTAACAAGCATGAGACCTTGGGTTCAAATCCAAGTACAAAAAAAATAATAAATCTAAATACGATCAAAATAGGTTCCATGCTTGCATGAAAATGTCACAATATAGCCCATTATTTTGTACAATGACTATGTAGTAGTAAACATTTTTAAAAGGAACTAAAAACAGAAACATCCAATGAGAAATAAGATCATTCTGGTAAGTGCAGATTAATATAAATCATAGTAAGTCACAAATAACACTCATTTGTAGCAAGAATCTTGTTTTGCAAGGCTGGATGGGCTACAGTTTTATTACCTCTTCAATCAGTGGCATGCCCTCTTTCCAGTTCACTCCATAAGCGACTCATTTTAAAGCAAACTCATTACTTTTAAGGTAGTTGATCCTACTGACTTTTATTGTAACAAGTATGGATGATTTAGCATTGTAACTTCCATGGTCCTGTGCTACACTCTGTCAGCCTGAATAAGGGTTTAGTTAAAGCAATCCTTTCCTAAAGTAGACATATGTGTCCTAGGATGTTTTATTGTTTGTGAGGAGGGAGACATTTTAAAATTCTGAACATATGGTTCTGTTCCTATTTAACTTCCAGGCTGGACATAAATGGAAGTTCTAATAACCAAACAGCTACATATAACTTTGTCCCAGTGGCTGGACAAAGGGTCACTGACCTGCAGGGGAAGGTTTTCGATTATGTACAGGCTCTTGTCTCTGAGCCACATCTACCAACACACAATGTAAAATGGGATTGAATCAGTAAAACACACTCACACCCCAATCTCCTACAAGATAAACACTATTGATCTCTTCTTACCATGAGGCCTGAGTACAAGTATCAAGACAGAACATCTGCTCTACCTGAGACACACCACAGTGTTGCTTCCAATTTCAGGGCTGATGTAGGAGCTACAATGCTGTGGGACTGGTTGGCAGGGGGAGGGGGTTCTAGAGTTTGAACGCAGAATATGGGGCCTTGTACCTGTGAGGCAGGAACTTTGCCACTCAAGCCATGTTCCCAATACTTTTTTTTTTTTTTTGGGTCCGGTTGTGGGG